AGCTATGAAGTAAACTAAAATTAAATATATGCGTACACTAATACCTTCAATGCTATAATTTTGGAGCTTTACCACCTTGATCGAAGAAATTTGGATAGGAGTACGGCGTCACATGACCTTATGCACAAGATGAAGGTTAGGAATTTATATGACGATTCGTACATTATTATGAACATTTATTTATGCTTACCTTGATCGTTCATAAGTCCATTCGTAAGCAACGGACTGACGAAGTTTGAATACGGCAATTGTTCTGTGACGCCTTCGTTACCATTGTGCCCCTGCATGAAAGAACATCATGTTAAGCAACTCAAGCCAGATAAAATGTTTGGGATTTACTATATACTAACCTCCATTAGGTGTTGTGAATACGAGAACGGGGTCGGCATAGAACATTGCGACAGTCGAGATTCATTTACGCGGATTCCAACCTCGTCCATTGTTCCGGGCGTACCCATTTGTCTCTTCCCTTTGTCCGAAGAAGATGTTGACTGCATTGTCATCCACAAAATTCAGTACAAGTTACTTTAATTCCTAATCAAGTAAACAGGTAATGGATAAACATACTTTCACTTTCCTCGAAGTGGACTCCAATGGGCCTTTCATTCGACGTTTCCTTGGCGCGCCCTTTCTGTTTGACGATTTTGGATCTAATATGCTGCCACTGTCCGTAGTTTGCGAACCAGTACAAGTGGAGGTTGATCGAACAATATGCAGCGAGCGGGCATTTCTTCCACTAATCGACTTTGCCATTCGCATATGTTCTGCTTGTAATTTTATCCACTCCTTTATTGCACATGCCCAACCTTCGTCATCTGCTGCGAGGTCTGCCACCTCCGAAAAAGACTGACACATATCGTCGTATCTCAACTGTCCAGGAGTACTTCCTAACCCATCATAATTCGCGACGACCCTCGTGTGTGCTCTACTGACATCCCTCCTCCATCTCCGTATTATATATCTATCAGGCATTGCCGTCAGGTCATTACGTATCAAGACTGTGATCGCATGCCGGCAAATGATTCCCCGAAATTCGAACAAGTGGCAACTACATACGACCTCCAACGTGTCCCTCCGAAATGAGA